TTCCTACAGGGACCTCCCCGAGTCCCAGCTGAGCGGGAGCTCCGGTTTCAGCTCGCCAGGCTCTCCCATCCTCATCGGAGGGAACCACCTTCAGCGACAGAGCTAAACGTCAGCCCAAACCTCTCCTCTCTGCTGCCTTAACCCTTGTGGGGCCGGGGGAGGTGTGGCCACGCCACTGGGAAACTCAGGCTGGGGCTGGAAGGGACTGCTGCAGGGAAGCTGGGAGGGGAGGGGGGGGGGCGGGGAGCAACCCAGGTCCTGCTAGGCTCCCTGGCCAGGTTGAGAGAAGGGGACCGCTGGCAGGTCAGGGGTGGAGGGATGGGGCAGAGGTAGGCGGGGCTGTAGGGCAGCTAAGGTGAGTCCTGAAGAATAAAATCCAGCCACCCTGGGCCACTCTTCCTCTTTTTTTATGCCCCTATCCACTCCCTCACATTTATGCCCCTACCCACTCCCTCCTCCCCACCCCCATCGCCACCCCCACAGTAGCCTGGGATGGAGGCTCCCCTGCCTGCCATGTGAGTGTCTTTGTGGGAGGAGGCACTGGTGATGGAAGGAGAAAGGGAGCCAACCCCTACCTCACCCCTCCACCTCTATCCCTTCTATCATTCAGGTCCAGGGCAGTGGGGAGGTTTCCCTGAGCTGGGGGAGCTTGACCTGGGGACTGAGAGAGAAGTAGAGTCTCAATCCATGGAGGGGATAGGAAAAGCTTTCTAGAAGGAAAGACTAAATTTGGCCAGCGCCACTAGGAAATAATGATTGTTTACAAGTTTATATAACAATTTATATTTATTCTTTTCCCAAAGAATCCATGGCAACATATATCATGAAAATATGTGTGAGCCCAGCTGGTATGGCTCAGTGGTTGAACATCAACCCATGAACCAAGAGGTCACCGGTTTGATTCCCAGTCAGGGCATATGCCCAGGTTTCCAGCTCGATCCTCAGTAAGAGGTGTGCAGGAGGCAGCCATGGATGTTTCTCTCTCATATCAGTGTTTCTCTTTCTCTATCTCTCTCCCTTCCTCTCTTTCTAAAAACAATAAAAACATTTGAATTTTTAAAAAATGCGAGTTAAAGATTTATATATATACTAGAGGCCCCGTGAACGAAATTCGTGCATAGGTAGAATCCCTAACCCTGGCCAGAAATCAGGGCCCATCTGTGGGGCTACCAGCGGGGCAATTGGTGGCCCCTGCTGGCACTCGCCTTGGCCGGCCTGGCACTGCCTGCTCGCTGGCCCCACCTCAGCCACCACCACCAGTTGCCTCCCTCTGCGGGGCGACTGGGAGGGCGATCGCGACCCCCACTCCCCCACTCATACCCGCCTTGGCTGTTCTGGGGCCTGTGGGCTGGGGGCAGCTCCTGCATTGAGCATCTGCCCCCTGGTGATCAGTGCACATCATAGCAACCAGTTGTTTCACTGGTTGTTCCACCATTTGGTCAATTTGCATATTAGGCTTTTATTATATAGGATATGAACAAAAGCCAACCTGAAAGGATAGACAATATGTCTAGTTTGGATGTGGCAAAGAGCAGGAAAAGAGGAAGAGTTTGGCCCGGGGTGGTTGGATTTTATTCTTCAGTTAATGGGGGATTGGCAATGCAGGAGAAGTGGGTGCTGGGCCCAAAGTAAAGTGCTAGGAAGAGAGTGTCACCCTGATATCCAGACTGAGGGATGGAGCAGGCCAAGACTGGCAGAGAGAGAGCAACTAACTGAGCCTGTGGACGAAGGCCTGGAGTAGGGAGTAAGCAATGGGAATGGAGGGGAAGAACTTGAAGAAGGTGGAATCCCCTGGGCCCAGGACAGCCTGCATGGGCAGGGGCCCTGACACAGGTGCTCCTCTGGGGGAGAAATTCCTAAATCCCAGCCCTGCACCTGAGCCCAGTGCAGTGAAGTAACTGAGAGGACGAACTCAGCAGTCAGGGACCTGGGTTCAAGTCCTTGATTCACCACTTTCTGACTACCAGACCTTCAGCAGGCTAAGTTCCTCTCTGAATCTCTGTTTTCTCATCTGTAAAATGGAAATAATTATCAAACCCACTTTGTAGACTGTTGGAGGGATCTGATGAGGTCATGTCCATAGGCCTTTAGCCAAGGGGCCTTGCTCATAATACATACTTGATGAATATTAATCATTATCTGAATTACCTTCCCAAGACTGACCCTAGAGAATTCCCATGTTATGAGCCTCCTTCCTCACCCTCAACTTCCAGGAGTAACTTTCCATCCAGGTGAAATTTGTTTAAAAAAGCACCAGGAGTAGCCTTAAAAGTGGGGGCTATACCAAAGGGCAGCAAATCTAAGCAGTGGAGGGCAGAGGTTATAGAGGGGAGCTTTACTTGGAGGGTAGTCAACCAGCCCTAGTCCTTTGGTGATGGGAGTGGGGAGGTGACTTAGTTTCCTAACAAGAATGGGTATTACAGCCTCTTAAGAGTCTGTTTCTACCATCAGCTGACAGTTCCACTTCCTTTTTCCCTTGTCTTCTGTGGTCCCTATCCACACACACAACCTCATCTCTGCAGCAAATATACCCCATCAGGGTGAGGCCCAGGTGATGAGCCTGACTGGCTGCTCCCTGAGGAAGTCCCTGGTGCCAGGTGTTTGCCTCTGCAGGCTTATGGGCCTGGGTACCAGCCCTCGCTTCTCTTCCTGGGCTGTCCTACCCACAGGAGTCATTGGTTCCTATTGGGCAGTTGCACTCCTTTGGGTTTGCAAATTTCCTGGGGTTCTGGAACCTGGAAGGGAATTTTCCAGAAGGAATGAGACACTTTTCCCTGGGGACCTCAAGGCATCATCTTGTTGAACTTTACAATAAACCGGGGCTGCTAGAGGACGAGGGAAGCTACTATGACTATGACACAGAAAAGGGCACAGTTTGCCAGAGGCCATGCAGCCCTGCACCAATTCAGCTTCCTCTCCTCCCATCATGGTCAACTCAATTTTTCATACCAATAGAGTTTAGTTCTAAATCCAGTGTTCTTAACCTAGGTTTCATGAAGTCTATTGGGAGGGAGTTTTTAGAGGGCCTCTGAACCTTTGGAAATTATAGGCAAGCATTTTGCATGTTTGTTTGTTTGTATTTTTTTTGGAGTAAGAGGGAGCCATAGCCTTCTTCAAGGGGACCTGCAGCTCCCAACTTAATGATTGATCTTCATAAGTTGATACTGAAAATTTGACCAAATATTTGTTGAATTTTGGGGAAGTCATTAATTATATACAATTATTGAGTCTAGGCCAGTGGTCGGCAAACTCATTAGTCGACAGAGCCAAATATCAACATACAACAATTGAAATTTCTTTTGAGAGCCAAATTTTTTAAACTTAAACTATATAGGTAGGTACACTGTTATTAACTTAATTAGGGTACTCCTAAGCTTAGGAAGAGCCACACTCAAGGGGACAAAGAGCTGCATGTGGCTCGAGAGCCGCAGTTTGCCGACCATGGGTCTAGGCTATAAACTGCACAATGGGTATTGGAGAATCTCCCCCCTAGCACACACACACACACATACACACCCATTTTTATATTTCTACCTTAAGAGCATTTGCTCTGAATCACATTGCTAGTGTTGAATCTAGCTGGACCACTTACTACCTGTGCACACCTGGGCAGTTATCTCACCTTTGATGGCCTTAGTTCTTTCATCTGTTAAGTGGGAAGAATAATGGTACCTGCCCAAATAGGATTGGATAAAGAGCTCCAATAGTGCCTACACACTCAGTAAACATTAGCTATTTTTTTATGGCTATCTCTCCCTCCTGCCCTCACCTTCTACACCTACTTCTGGGAGAAATAAATCGCTAGAGAGGCCATGGGTGTAAAAAAGCAATGTGTCATACTGGGAAGTAGGGAATGATACCTGGAAGTAAGAATTATTTACTTAAAATCAGTACTGAGAAATCCACAATTGGCGGTAGTAGATGGAGTCAGGCCACTCATTTAATTACAAGTCACAATACCCACAAATTTTTTCATGAAAAGAAGAGGCACTTAACAACACCTGTACCTTTTTCAGTGCCACCAGGAAGGCTGGTTGTATGTGAACACACAGAAAGAAACAGCAGAGAAGGCTGTCCTGTGAATACCAACAGCTCCCCATTCTTCAAGCCACAACTTGGGCAGATCAGCCGCTGAGCAGCAACCATACAGTGAGTGGGAAAGCCGGAGGAAAGAGCTGGGTGGAGCTGGTCTGCAAACCTGAGAGGGGCATCCCAGACTGCTGGCAATTAAGTTTGGTTTCCATCAGTTACACAAAACACAAAGTTCAAGTCAACCAGGGCCAGAGATGGAGAAGGGTCGGTCTGTGGAAAGACAAAGGGCCCTTCCACCAGAGCCTGCTGTAACCGGCCCCACCAGGGACGTCTCCAGCTCTAATAAATACCGGCTGTTCACCTACACAACAAGCAATAATGTTCTGCCTCCAGGTCTGGCTCAGCTCCACTCTCTTTCCACTGGGAGCCAGGCAAGGGGGTAGGTGCGTCTGTGGTTCTTTCTCTGGCCACATTCTTCTGGCTCTAGGTCATTCTTCATGCAAATTGCTGAAAGCCAGTGAGCCTCCCTCCTTCATAGTCCGTGTGCTCCTGAATCACTCGGGGCGGGGGGTGGGGGGACCTGCTCTTGACTTCCCTATGTATATTTATAAACTTCAACTTAATACAAAATGTTGTCAGTTCTGCAAATGAACTGCAAAGCATTTCAAAGAACACTGGCAACAACAACAAAAAAATCTGACCAGAATCCAAGTGTCTAGCTGAAGAGGTACATGCAGTTGAGCCATTTTGGGTGATGAAGGAAACAAAAAGTAGGGTAACTCCATGAGAAGGCATCAGGGTACAACAGCACAAAGACACTGTGGTCAACAGGCCCCGGGACAGATCAAGGCTCTACTACCCACCAGCTGTGTGAACATGGGCATGTTCGTTGGCCTCTCAGAGACTCAGTTTCCTCAACTGTAAAAAAGAGGTAATGACTACCTTTTAATGTTGGTGAGGAGATTAAAATGAGGCTAGCGTATATATGGCAGCTCAATCAATGTTGACTATTATTATAACTATCAATGAATATATAATCTTAGAGTTTTTCAAAAAACCCTCCTTTCAGGTATTTAACAGAAATAAAACTTAATAGGTACCATTTTCCTTGGGTCCGGTGATGTAAGTTAGGTTAGGTTCCTATAGTGAAACAGATGCCCCTCTGAAAAAATATATTTACTTGTATATTTATGCTTCCATTTGGAGGTCTAGGTAGAGTGTGCATTTGTTTGAAGACAAATTGAGAGGACCCTGTCCAGGTATTAAAAAAAGTATTCTGACATTTGTTAAAGACAATAAGGAAGACTTTAGTCAAGGGACCACTGCAATGGGATGCTGTGGTAGGGGAATGAGATTGGGCCTAATTCTGAAGATAATAAGGAAAAGTCGGAATTTACAGCCAAGGAGGAGGATGGGATCAGTGGGTGGGAAATTACTAACAGGAAACATTAAGGGTAAGGGGGCATTCTGGCTGAACTGATTTGATAGGATTCTTGACGAAAGCAGGCCAGGGTGATCAGGTATCCTAGGAGATGTGCAGTGTAAGGAATTTGATCAGATATCAAGGGTAATCAGACATCAATGATTGGGGACTTTCACTAAGCTGATTTAGCAAGACTTTAACTCTTGAGAACAAATCCTACTTGAACAAAGGCTCAGAGAATCTTGACTAAAGTTGAGTTAAGAAAAGAGTGTTTGTCACAGGGCTCAGAAAATCTCCCGCACTGCACTACTGTCTGTTTCAATGCTGCCACCTGTTCACTGGGATAAATAAGATCCTATATAATAAAAGCCTACTATGCAAATCAACCAAGTGGCAGAACGATTGGTTGCTATGATGTGCACTGACCACCAGGGGGCAGACACTCAATGCAGGAGATTACCACAGCCTGCAGGCCCCAAGCCAGCCAAGGAAGGTGCCAGCAGGGGCCCCTGATCACCCCACCAGTCACCCCACAGATGAGCCCTGATCACCGGCCAGGCCTAGGGACCCTACCCATGCACAAATTTCATGCACTGGGCCTCTAGTTTGTATATGAAGCAACTGGTCTCCTTCTATGGAACCTCCTTCCATGTGCTAAAGGAGAAAGTAAAAAACTTACCAAGTAAAAAATCATTCATTCACTTATTAAGCACAATTTCCTGCATATCTACTATGTGCCAGGCATCCTTTCAGGCCCTTAGAGTATGTCTGTGAACTACACCTGTGTGTCCAGGATTTACCTTGTGGATTTACAGACCAGATAGCACTGAGACACTGAGCAAAAGTAATGAGCAACACAAGTGAGGGGAGAATGTTCTGGGAGCATGGAATGGGGGGAAGGGAGCAATCTTATCTGAGCAACAGAGAAGCTTCCTTGAGGAAGTGGCATTGAACTTTAGAACCAAAACAAAAAAGGGAAGGGAGAGTAGAGAACAGTGATGAGGAGGGCCATGTAATACAGAGTCTGGAGATGTAGGCAGGCCTTGAAGACCATGAACTTTATTCTGTAGGACATGGGAAACAATCTGAGGACCAGCTTCAGAATCCAATTTGTCCTCAGACTCAGCTCTCTTGGCATCCTGCATCCAACAGAATGGAGAGAAGTGGCATGGTGTGAGAGGCACTGAGGAGGTACAAAGTCGTTATGGTGTACGTGGGAGGTAGCAATGAGAGCAATCAGATATGACTCCCACTTGATGACCAGGTGGATATTGGGGAGTGCATGGTGGCGTGCTGGAGGAGCCCCCTCCATCTCTCTCTCTCTCAGATCCCTCACCCTGGGAGCAGCCAGCTGCCATGCTGCGTGAGCAGCCTCAGGGAGAGTCTCACATGGAAAGGAACTGAGGCTCCTGATGACAGTTCTATGGATGAGCTTGGGCGCACATTCCCCTGCCCTTCCGATGGCTGTGGCCCCAGCCTGCAACTTGACTACAGCATCATGTGAGTGCCCCAGCCAGAGCCACCAGCCCAGCTGCGCCCAGGTTCCTGGCCCACAGGAAATGGGTGAGATGATCAATTGTGTTGTTTTAAGCTGTTACATTTGTTACACAGAAATAAATTACTAATATAAAAAATTTCTGAATTGGGCAATCTGAGTTAGAGGAGGCAATAAAACTGTCTGTACCTTGGTAAACAGGCAGCCAGACGAAAACTGCTAGCTGGCCACAGTTTAAGACTCAAAACAGTGAGAAATGTGGCCATCACAGGGAGGAGGCTTTCAGCTGTACGTACAACAAACCCAATTCCTGGGGCTGGAACAACAAGGAATTTTATTATCATATAGAGCAGTGGTCGGCAAACTCATTAGTAAATAGAGCCAAATATCAATAGTATCACGATTGAAATTTCATTTGAGAGCCAAATTTTTTAAACTTAAACTATATAGGTAGGTACATTGTTATTAACTTAATTAGGATACTCCTAAGGCTTAGGAAGAGCCACACTCAAGGGGCCAAAGAGCCACATGTGGCTCACGAGCCACAGTTTGCCGACCACTGGTATAGTGCAACAAGTCTATAGGTAGGGTGGCTCTAGCATCCATAGCTCAACAGTAGTGCTAAATACTCAGATCCAAAATATGAGATATGAAATGTTAGCTACTAGTAAAATATAAAATAAGCAAAGGAGAAATTGAAGCAAAGTGTTAGCATTTATTTATCTTTGAGGCAAGTGCATCAGTATCTTTTGTCTGGACTTTTTTGTCTGTTTGGATTGTTTACAATTATATCTATATTTTATAGTGCTATAAAGAAATAGTTACAAGGAGATGTAAGGGGGGCATGTAGAGAAATATCTTCTAATAGAGAAGACAAACATTTATTCTTTAACATGAGAAAATATTGTATTTCTCATGTGTCAGTCACATTGTTGGCAATAAGGGGGCATAATGAACAAGACAATGATTCCTGTTTGCATGGAGCATATGCACTACTGGGCAAAGATCTGTAATAAACAAATCAAGAAGGAAGGACCAGGTGGTGAGAGTGCTATGCTAGCAATGAAACGGAAGTCTGCTAGAGAGTGGCTGAGGGAGGTACTTCAGTTTGTGGAATCAGGGCAGGCCTCTCTGGGAAGGTGACATTTACACTGAGACCTGAAGTAAAGTACCATGGGAGCCAGGAAAGGGTGTTCCAGGCAGAGGGAACAGCTCATGCAAAGGCTCTGAGGTGCGAATGAGCTGAGTGTGTGTAAGGAACACAAAGAGGCCAGTGTAGCTAAGCCTGTAGCAAGTATATAAACAACTCCTTAAACATGAGGCAAATGAAAGGAGCCAGGAGAAAATGGGTTGATCAAGTGAATTCATTCCAATGCCACAGGACTTTGGGGCATCGGGAGATCCTTTGAGAATCTAGTCAAAAGCTATGGGCCATAGAAAAATAAACACATACTGATTTTTGCTTGCAATTTGAGGATATGTGTTGACCCTCTGAGCCTACCCAGAAATGACCTAATTCCAGCATGTGAACTGAAAGCATGTTATTCCCAGTCCAGGACAGGGCAGCAAGGACACTAGTCATTCCTACCAAGCGCAGGACTCCTCTATAGGTAATATTTGCACTAGAGCTCCTACTGTAGCAGTCTGGCATCTCTGACCCAATCCCCCTTTGTGACCCCCTGCTTCTCACAGTGCCAGACCTGCATGGAGAGCAGTCTGAAGGCGCTTCCTGCCTACTCTTGCCCTCTCTCCCATTCATCTTTCACAGACATTAGCATCAATAATTAGGTCTTGCACTTCTAACTCTGCTTGGTGTCTGCTTCTTAAAGGAACCACCCAACACAATTGGTACCAGGAATGATAAAAAAGAAGTGGTAATAAGAAGAATTCCTGTCACAAGGTGGCAACCCAATGGATAAAAACTTGACAGGTGGCTACTTAAAAGAATATCCTGGTGGAGGGGAATGCCCTGCTTGGTATGATGATTCAGGCCTTTGAACATCATAGAGAAACAACACATATAAGGACAGTAAGAAATAGCTGGGTTCTAAGTTTAGTTGCTGCCCTACTGAGGGATAATAAGAAACTAAGGACAATTAATAGTCTTAAAAACCAAGTGTGAAAGCCAGGGGGGTCTCTTTGGTTGCTCCTGCAGTAGAAGCATGGACACAGTGGAGGAGCAAACTCAGACTCTGATATTTATAGTCACCAGGCTTCAAAGAGTGTTGAATACCCAGTCAAGGCAGGTCTACTATGTTAAAACCAGTGCCTTGGCTGGAAAAAGTTTAACTCCTGAACATGAGACTGAGTCATCTGGATCGATGCCCCCAAATATTGTGATTCCATTGACTTCCCTGAATCTTCCCTACAGAGATGGCTCACTTGTCCCTATTAAGAACTAGAACTGGTTCCCATGGGAAGATACAGCATGGACCTCTCCACTTAAAGAGAGCAAGTGTCCTCCTCAAGACTTCCTCCCAAATCTGTCCTGGCTGCCAGGCCAGTAACCAGGGTTAAATCCCAGCCTAATCCCAGTTTAGGAAGTGCTGGGTCTGATCAGGAAAGAAAGAAGCAATCCCCAGTGAAGCTGCACGAATTCGCTAGCATGTTCCAGCAGGAGGAATTGGATTTTGAGCGTGCTTGATCAAGGAGTACAGAACATAAGAATGGATCGGCAAGAGTTCATTTACTTGGAAGTATTCTTTAGGGACATGGGCTATACACCCTAGCAAGAAACCTAGGGTATGTGCAAGTGTGCTGTTAGTTAACTCTTAGAAACCTGGAGAAAGCAATAGCCCATCCTGACCCAAGTGGTAATGCCCGAGATGCCACAGAGATGGTGGGATTAAATGGCTCAGGGAAGTAGGCACGCTGGATTGGATGGATATATTATGTAAGGGCAGAAGATCCATCAGAGATTTTGTTCCATGGAAGGACACAGAGAACACACTGTTCATCAAGGCATCAGGACTAGGCTGACCACTAAGCCATTCAGTGGTGGCTTTCCTACAGGCTAAGGTTGACTGTAGGAGATAAGTCACAGGACATGGTCTACTCACAGCCCAGGGAATGATGAGGACTTGAAGAAATAGAGTCCAGGTGATGGTATTTAACTACCATAAAAGGTGGGCCCTACAATTACCCTCAAAACCAGCTGACTTGAAGGGACATCCCAGGGGGCTTAACCCGAAAGGAGTTGTGAAGATGGTTAGTAGAACACATTCTCCTTAGGGAGAAAACAGACAGGTAGACAAGCAGGGCTGCTGCTTAATATAATCAATCAAAAAGAGCAAGAATGATGAGCAGGACGCTGAGGGTGGTAACCCCAACAGTAAGTCATGAACTTTGCTCAATTCCTAGACCTGAGTCAGTTTTCATACCAAGAACTTGTTGGCTACAGAGACAAATGGAAGAACAGCAACATCACGTCAAGTATATAATATAATGATTCCTTTGACATTTCCCTAAAAAGACATACAAAGACATGCATCTTTCATCACTGTCACCAAGAATGAAATATGATGTCTGTCAGACCTCCCTGGGTTGGGTTCTGGAGACAGAACTTACTCAGATGACTGTGGACTGAGGAGAGAGAAACACACATACATTCTGAGGATTACTGGACACAAATGACATCGATAGCTAGAAACCTGAAATGGCATCATGCCCACCTGTTAGAGGCATATGAGAGCAAGTTAATAAAATGAGTCTTGGACAAATGCCAAGTTACAATGGGTCCAGTGAGGCCATGGACCCACCTAGTGATCATTTTTTCTGTTCTCCAAATATATAATTGGGATTGACATACTCAGTTGTTGAACTCCTACATGAGATCCTTGGCCCATCATAATAGAAAGGCCAAATAAACGCGTCTGAAACTGCCTTCCCCTTCCCAAGGTAGTGAATCAAAAACCATATCGCATTCCTGGGGAATGGTGGAGATTAATGCCACCCTCAAGAGTCTTTATGATGCAGCGGCGATGGCCTTTTTCATATATCCATATTTCAATTTAATTCACCAATCAGGTCCCTGCAGAAACCAGATGGATACTGGTAAAATGGCAGAAGACAATCACATACTCAACCAAGAAGTAGTTCCAATATGGCTGTCGGGTCATTCATGGTATCTTTGCTAGAGCAGCTTAAACATCCCAATCAGAGAAGAGACTCATGTGGAATGGACAATAATTTACGGTACTGTCCTAGGTCTCTGTTAATTCTCCTGCCCTCACAGAAGAAAATCTGGACCATCTGGACATCCTACAGAATATCACATCGAGTCATTACATCAGTGACAGAGCAGTACAGTAAAAGCTGCTAGCACACTGGAGGCCTTGGGAAAGCATCTCACTTCAGATGGTGGGAGATAAACCCGATGAAGACCCAGAGGCAGAGCACACTGCTAATGTTTTCAGGGGTCCAGAGATCAGAGGCATGCTGAGAAATACTGTCCAAAGTGAAAAACATATTGCTGCATTTTTCATCACCGCCACCAAGAATGAAATATGATGTCTGTCAGGCCTCCCTGGGTTGGATTCTGGAGACAGTACAGTCAACACCTAGCAATACTATTCCAGCCCATATGCCAGGAAATCTGAAAGGTAGTCAGCTTTGCATGGGGCCTGGAACAAGAAAGGAATCTGCAGTCAGTCCAGGCCTTGGTACAAATAGCTCTGCCATGGAAGTGAGGGCGATCTGGCTGTGACATCTGTCACCCCATTGATCAACAGGGTTGAATTCGGCTGATCTGGCTGGCTAGGCGGGTGTCCCCCTCTTTCCTCGCCGATCCATGTGCATCCCTCCCAACGCTGCATGGTCGGTCAAAGGGGACACCATTCCACCCAGAGGAGAGTATTGGTCTTCGGTCAAGAGTAGCTGCACTCCCCTGCTAGAACCTCCAAACAAGCTCTCAAATAGCCCTGCCACTTGAAGCATATGACCCACCAGGCCATCTGTTGTTGGAGATGTCAGTGGTGGGAAAGGATGAAGAAAGGACCTTTTAGCAAGCTCCAGTGGGAGAATCACAACATAGACCTCTGGGATTCTAGACCAAGGCCATGTCATCTACAGCATTTGCTTTTGAGGAACATATCCTAGAGTGTTAATGGGCCCTCATGGACATGGGATATTTGATTCTGTGGTATCAAATGACCATTAATATATAATTGCCCATCATGAGCTGAGTTCTATCAGACCCTCTAAGTCATAAAGTTACCCGAGACCATAGGCCATCCTAAGATGACACTGGTACATCCAGAATGGATCCCAAGTAGGACCAGAGGGCACAATCAGGCTTCATGAGTAGGAACCCCAGACTCCCATGCCATCCTCCATGGCTGCCCAGTGCCCCTCTCTCCACTTGCACCTATATCCAGCCATTGTGAGGGGCGTTTACCAATACAACAAGCTGAAGGAGAAAAATCCCACATGGAACATCTCGGAGTGTAAGCTCAAATGCAAGTGGATGCTGGGTGCATCAGAGAGCAGATTTGAATGACGGAGCTAAGGAAAGTTTTTCCAATGGGTAGAGCTCTGAGTGGTGCACCAAGTCATCTGCTTTGTGTGGAAGGAAAAGTAGCCTGAAGTGAGAACATATGTAACTCATGGACAGTGGTCAATGGCCTCACTGGCTAATCAGGAGTCTGAAATGAAAAGGACTAAATGAGTGGAGACAAGGAGGCCTAAAGTATAGGCATGTGTCTGGGCATATGGCAGTGGGCACTACGTATGACCAAAAAATGTGATCATGGTAGACAAGAAAGCATCTACCAAGGAAAAGTCACTTAAGTAGACAGTAGAAATGACTCAGCTGGGTGACATTAGCCAGTATTGCCATCAGCTACCCAAACTTGACATGAGGAGCACATGAACAGAATGGCCATGCTAGCAGAAATAGAGGTCACTTGATACAACAGCCCGGACTGCTGCTTACTGAGCCAATCAACGAACACCACCTCCAAATAACCTGTGGGCAACAAGGCCCAATCCTGAGCCCCTGATATGGCTCTATTCTGATCCAGTAGGACTGGGCCAGGGACCTGAGATTTTATATTTCTAACAAAAACCCAAATAATGCTAATGATACCAATGATACTATGTATTATAGTTTGAGGAGGAAGAACTTAAAGGAGCAGAAGTTACCTCCTCTAAGGTCATAGGCTGGACTATTGATAGAGGGGAACGTTCTTTCAATAGACTCTCTAGGAGAGTCAGGAAGATTTTGAGCAAGGACCACTTTTCCCCTTAGGCAGCAGCAGCAGCAGAGAAGTGCTGGCCCTTGAGAGCTGGCACCAACGATTTAGCCTGGCTTGATCCCTGGGAACACTTTTTGGGAATGAAGGGGTTACACTTTACTAAGGAACTTGAGGTAAGCAACAAGATGAACTGTGTTGCATACTGAGAGATTTAGGTCTTATAACAAAGTCTTCTCTTTCCTCTGCATTGCTGGCTTGACCTGAGGCCTCAAACTTTCCATCTTGAGTTTCCATGAGCTGCAACCGAATCGTAACCAGGAGAAGTGTGCTACTCTCCAAAGGCGTTAGAGGTTGGGAGGGATCTGGCAGGCACCCCCCTCCCCATAAATCCAAGCCTATGCAACAATATTCCAGCTTCCCTTGGGCTCTGTAAACCTATGTTAGTCCTTCTCCTTCATGTTGGGCCTCCCGGGGCCTCCGGACAACCATAAGTCAGGCTGGACCAGGGCCACATTCTCACCGGGCTGCTCACGCACGTCCCTCTGGTGGACTGGGCAAATTTACCTGTGATTTGGCATTGGGCCCCTTTTTTCTTATCATATTTCATTGGAAAATCTGATCTCATTTAAGGTTTGTGTTTCCACTTGTGTTTCTGGGCAGGTGACCAGTGGAATGCAGGCAGGGAAATGTAAACAGTTAATGAAATCTAACAGGGTCCACCCTTTCAGGGATATTCCATGCCTCCAACAAGTCCTGTCTCTCATATTTCCTTCCACGGCGCTCTTCCTCCTGGCTATGGCCTGGGTCTGTTCTCCATCACCATGGTGAGCGCCTCAGGGAAACACAGGTGTCTGCAGTCATTAGAAATTCAAATCCACCTGCTGTACCATGTGCAAGAAGAAGGGCAACTGGGGGTCAGCCGGGATGTGATGGGTGAGGGGTGGCTGTCTGGCCCTGAGCCCAGCGGGATTCATAAATCATGCTGGTTTCCAGAGGCAAGGAGCTCTAATGGGAGGCAGGTGAGAGGCCCACCTGCAGCCAGGAGGCTGGATGCTATTACACAGTGGCCCCAGGAGGCCTTGAAGGCGGGCGTCTGTGGTTCCTTACACCCTGGAAGCAATTTATGGCCCACGCCTGCTCTTTCTCTCTGTGTGTCTCTGTACATCGCCCCCTCCTCTGCTCCGACCCTGTCTCCACTCCCATTTTCTCTGCTTATTTCTTTTCTTTTTAAAATATATTTTATTGATTTTTTACAGAGAGGAAGGGAGAGGAATAGAGAGTTAGAAACATCGATGAGAGAGAAACATTGATCAGCTGCCTCCTGCACACCCCCTGGATGTGCCCGCATCCAAGGTACATGCCCCTGACCGGAATCGAACCCGGGACCCTTCAGTCCACAGGCCGACGCTCCATCCACTGAGCCAAACCGGTCAGGGCTGCTTATTTCTTTTTCTTTTGTTTTCCTTTCCTCTCCTCTCCCCCACTCTTTACGTGCAGTGAAGTAAGGCTTAAGAACCTAAGTATGAGGTCAGACAGGCACACCAGTTGTCCTGGGAAAGGGGAGTTTTCAGCACATGGCTGAAGCACATCAGGTCATTTGAAACCCAGGAATCCTGCCTGGAGGAGGCAAATAGGTCAGGGGCCTCCAGTGAAAGTACAAAGTGGTTTCATTTTGTCACTGTCCTCTGCTTCCACCCCTTCTCCACTTCAGCATCTGCTCACCTTTTCTGTCACCATGGACTTCCCCTCCCCAGTGAGGAGACATTTGGGGCATGCTGGCATTATTTTTGTCCCTCTAGTCCAGCCGTGGTTTTATGTAATGATGTTTACTTTGAATTTATATTAGTTCACACAAACACTCCATCCATGCTTTTGTTCCGGCCCTCCGGTCCAGTTTAAGAACCCATTGTGGCCCTCGAGTCAAAAAGTTTGCCCACCCCTGCTCTAGTCACAGGTCATGTGCAACCCACCCAACCTATAGGCTGCTTGCCTCTTAGCATCAGTCCACCCTTCCAAGTCTCAGTGGTCTTAAGGAAATATTAGATATATGTAAGTTCCCCAAACTCCCTAGGTACCAAAGACAGCGAGGCTAGAACTCAGTTCTCTGACTTAGCTGCCTGCCCTGGAAAACTTGCCTTTCTCCCTGGGCTCTGCTTCCTTTCAGCAGAGTGAAGGGTTGGACTCTGATCTCTAAGGTTTCTCTCACCTCTAACTTCAGTGGTTTATTCAATATGAATCTGAATTTCTCAGGTCTCTCTGGTCTGTAGCCCCAAACAGGTCACCGATTATAGCCATGTCCACACATCACTGGCTTTTGTCCATAGCATCCTAGAGGACATGGGTGCCCCATGAGATCTCAGCCTCTGGTGTCCCTAGTGTCCCCTGGAGATGTCTCCCAGCTGCTCACAAACCGTTCAGTTACCAGAGACACAATGCATCCAGTTGCAGCTGTTGGGTTTCTCTCTTCTCCCACCCCACTCACCCTCGGTTCCTGCATGAAAGCCCCTGAGAGCACAATGTGGCCTTGAAGCTGCTACTGATACGAGTTCACCGGCAATGTCCATGCTAGGGTGCTGCCTGCCACTCCTAGCTGCTGGGCCTCCAGGTGCCATCAGGTCCTGGCCCACCTGAAGTGAGGTGATGGCCCTCCTCCCCACTCACAGTCCTACCAGGTCACCCAGACCTCCAAAAGGGCCCGCTTGTGCCCCAAGGGTCACAGAGTCCACAAATAGGTCCTCATTCTTTCCCTCAGAAGCTTCCGTATTACAGGACCCAGACGCAATCCGTGTCTGACTTCATGGGGTCCTCCCCACCCTTTACCTCCCAGAGGGTGAGGAAGCCTCCCGCAAATCACTTTCTGGTGGTCCCCCCACCTTTTCTACAGACATGTTTGAATTCCATTTTTGGCTGAGACATGCCTCCTGACCCTCAACATACACACATATACGTATATATATATGCTTCTGTGATTTCCATCACCCTAGCAAATAGGATAAATCAAAGGAGTGCATGAGTGCGTGAGTGTGTGAGTGTGTGTGTGTGTGTGTGTGTGTGTGTGTGTGTGTCCTGAGAGAAAGAGGAAAGAACTAACCTCTCTGCTCCAAGTGGCTCATCCAGGGCGAGAAACCACAATCTTGGGTAAAAAGAGAGAATTTTCTTCCCCAACTCTTCCCCCAACACATTCTAGAAGCAGGACTTGATCTCCAATGAAAACCTGTGACAAAAAGAGCAACTGGTGACTTCTCAAACTCTGTACTTGGTGACAAATAAGAATCAAAGTGACAAGGGAATAAAATAGCATACTGTAAAGAAAGTAGTTTCTTGTGGTTAATGGAGGGACCTGGGAGCAAGAATATAGGCCAGATGCTCAGTCTGGAAAATCAGCATAGGCCTATTTTAAGAACGAATGAAAAGAGCCTTGTAAAAGGACAAGGTAGAATAACAGCTATTTTTCTCCCCCTAGGAATGGGAATTAAAAAGTGGTTACAAAGAGTGGAAATCCAGGATTCCGAGTAAAGAAACCTGGAATCTAGGCCTGACTTTATCATCTCTGCTCCCTCCTGACAACCCAGAGAGGACAGGTCAGACCATATGCTCCTGTGTATACATCTTAATAATTAATTAATTGATGACTCAATTATTTTCAATACAGACTTAGTTTAGAGAATCAGGAGGACATGTTGGTAGAGTTGAGCATTAAAGGATAAAGAGGATGAGACACTGGAGTGCTACATTAGTGATCCAGGTGATGTGACATGAGTAATACATTGGTGTTCCAGGCGATGAGACATTGGAGTGTGACATTAGTGTAATAGGTGATGAGACATGAGTGTTATAGGTGGAAGGAGCAGCACTTTCCAAGGCAAGCTGGGAGGAAACATGGTCTGTGTGAGGAACTGAAAAAAGACCAGTGCAAACTGGAGCTCAGAGAGCAAGGAAGCTGGTGAGGAAGGTAGGTCCCTGGGACCATGTTAAAGACTTCTGTACTTAGTCTTTTATAAAATACTAGAGGCCTGGTGCATGAAAAATTCATGCACTCAGGGTGGGGAGGGTCCCTCAGACTGGCCTGTGCCCTCTCAGACTCCGGGACCGCTCGGGGGATGTCCACCTGCTGGCTTAGGCCCACTCCCTGGGCGATCGGGCCTAAGTTGGCACTCAGACATCCCTCTGGAAGCCTGGGATCCCTCGGGGGATATCTGACTGCAGCTTAGGCCGCTCCCTCTGGGGAGTGGGCCTAAGCTGCAGTCGGACATCCTTAGCACTATTAAGGAGGCAGGAGAGGCTCCCACCACCGCTGCTGCACTCACAACCATCAACCCAGCTTGTGGCTGAGTGGAGCTCCCCCTGTGGGAGCGCACTGACCACCAGAGGGCAGCTCCAGCATTAAGTGTCTGCCCCCTGGTGGTCAGTGTGTTCAGCCCAGCTTGTGGCTGAGTGGAGCTCCCCCTGTGGGAGCGCACTGACCACCAGAGGGCAGCTCCGGCATTGAGCGTCTGCCCCCTGGTGGTCAGTGTACATCACAGCAGCCAGTCGTTCCTGGTTGTTCCGCCATTAGGGTTAATTTGCATATTTCCCTTTTATTATATAGGACTAGAGGCCCAGTGCACACTATTCATGCATGGGTAGGGGTCCTAGGCCTGGCTGGTGATCAGGGTCAATCTGTGGGGTGACTGGCAGGGTGATTAGTGTCCCCACTTGCACCCGCCTTGGCTGGCCTGGCACCACCCGCTCGCCAACCCCGCCCCCAGCCACCACCAGTACAGGCCTGCAGGTTGGGGGCAGCTCCTGCATTGAGCATCTATCCCTTGGTGGTCAGTGCACACCATAGTGACCGGTCGTTCCACCAGTTGTTCTGCCGGTCAGTCAATTTGCATATTAAGGTTTTATTATATAGGATATACTGATTTCAGAAAGGAAGGGAGAGGGAGAGACAAATAGAAACATCAATGATGAGAGAGAATCATTGATCAGCTGCCTCCTGCATGCCCCCTAACTGGAATCAAGACTGCAACCTGGGCACATGCCCTGACAGGAATTTGAACTTGACCTCCTGGTTCATAGGTTGATGCTCAACCATTGAGCCACACTGGCTGGCTTAAGTCTTGTGAAGTAGCCAGTCTTAAGTAGAAGCCAGTTTCTAAGTGTCCAATAATCTCCACCTCCTGACAGTTTTGTCCATGCACAGTCCCCACCTCTGAAAATATACCTGAGTTATCTATGTGACCTATAGCACATGGGAGAAGTGATAGTCCATCACTTTTGCAATCCTATATAATAAAAGGGTAATATGCAAATTGACCCTAATGGCAGAACTATGAGGATGACTGGTTGCTATGATGCTCACTGACCACCAGGGGCAGACGCTCAATGCAGGAGCTGCTCCCTGGTGGTCAGTGTGATCCCACAGGGGGAGCTCCGCTTAGCCACAAGCCGGGCTGCGGCTGCGAGCAAAGTGGGCTGCAAGTGAAGCGGCAGTGGTGGGAGCCTCTCCCACTTCCTCAGCAGCACTAAGGATGTCCACCTGCAGCTTAGGCCCGCTATCCCTGGGGGGAGCGGGCCTAAGCCACAGTAGAATATCCCCTGAGGGCTCCCAGGCTGCTAGAGCAGTGGTTCTCAACCTTCTGGCCCTTTAAATACAGTTCCTCATTCTGTGACCCAACCATAAAATTATTTTTGTTGCTACTTCATAACTGTAATGTTGCTACTGTTATGAATCGTAATGTAAATATCTGATATGCAGGATGGTCTTAGGCGACCCCTGTGAAAGGGTCATTTGACCGCCAAAGGGGTTGCGACCCACAGGTTGAGAACTGCTGTGCTAGAGGGATATCTGATTGCCAGCTTAGGCCTGTTCCCCCGGGGAGCGGGCCTAAGCTGGCAGGTGGACATCCCCCGAGGGGTCCCGGACTGTGAAAGGATACAGGCCAGGCTGAGGAATCCTCCCTCCTTCCAAGTGCATGACTTTTTGTGCATTGGGTCTCTAGTTAGATTATAAAAGACACTGCTATTTCCTTCTACACTTTCTTGGATCACTCACTCTGGGGAAAAACATGTCAGGAGCAGCCAGCCCTGTGGAGAGTCTCACTTGGCAAGGAACTGAGGCCTCTCACCCACAGCCATGTCCATGATCTCACAAGAAGATTTTCCAGCCCAACCAAACCTTAGGTTGACTGCAGCCCTGGCCGACACCTCAGGGTCAAGAGAGACCCTGAGCCAATCCATACACCCAAGCCACTCCCAGATTCCTAAACTTCAGAAAATGTGAGGCAATATGTTTGTTGTTGTCATATGTTACATTTTGGGGTAATCTGTTATATGGCAATGGATAACTAATACATATGAATAGCAGTAGAGTTAGAGTTGCTAATTGTGTGACTTTGAACAAGTCACTGAACCTCTCTGAACATCAATCTCTTTTTCCACCTATAAAATGGCGGGAGTGGACATGAGTAATAGAATGTTAACACAGGAAAAGATTTAGAGATAATCTAAGTAAGCCATGAACCCCTGAAGACAGACCAGTGGCCATAGATGAGAACACCGAATGACACAGGTCAGTGGCAGATGGGAGAGGGGTAATGTAAGAAGAGCCTACCATTTATTGACTACTTACCCTATGCCAGGCATTGCGCATGCATTATTATCTCATGTTCTCCTCCCATCTGAGTTAGGCACTAGGTTAAACCCATTTTACAGAAGCCAAAATGAAACACAGAGACATTAAGTCAACAGTAATCCCATCCTTCCATGTTTCGGAAAGCTGTGAAAAATTGGGGTCTAGAAATAATGGCTTAAAAAGGCAAAGCAGAAATCACCTGTTCCTCTGCCCTCACCTTGATTACTCTCCACATCACCCCCATCAGCATCCTCTAGAAAATTATCCCAGCCAGGCAATCCTCTCAAAATGGTCCTACCTACCGCCTGGGCACAAATTTCAAATTTTCACTCCACTTTACTTAGGAGTCTGGGGGTATGTGCCATCAATGCTGGTGGGATTTGGTATCCATGGTGTAGGCCAAACAGCAGCCACCCAGATGTCTTCCACATCATTCCTTTCCCGACACAGCCCTGAAAATACAGCCACTGAGAGTTTCCCCAGGCTCCGTGGAATTTGGGGGTCTTTGTTCCCGCTTCTGGAAACACATCAACCTGCCAATTCTGGTGAAGGGGTCTACGACAATGCTCTTGGCTTTCACCATTGTTTCTGACACAAGCACTAGTAACTCTTTCTTAGTTTTTAAATCTCATTCTTCAGAGAAGATAAATTAACTATACAAGTATGTCATGAAAACCGGCTTGGCAAGCATGGTCTGCTGGAGAGGAGCAGGGATTGCTTTATTTTCCATGATCTCAGTGTAAAATAAATAGATTTATCTTAGATGTTCATGTAAGGTCATCAGGAGCACAGTGATTTAAACCGTGGCCCTTGGCTGACTCGAGTCCAGAGCATGATCTAATCAGGCCTGGAATTCTCCAAGAAAACAGGGAAGGAAAAAAAAAACAGCTGGCCTGGAAATGTGGGTTTCAACGTTATCTCAGCACAAGGAAGTTTTCCCTTTCTGCTCAAGCCTCCTGGGAACCCTGCAAAGCCAGCCTGATGCGCAACATTTTTTAAAGTTTCTTTGTTCTGTTAACAGTGCGTGAGGTTAAGTCTGAGCAGACCTGGCCCTCTCCCTTCTCCCTCTCCCGACAGGCGCAGACCTTCCTGACGTGATGGCTTTGCTCGGGAATGTTGGTAGCTGAGCAACCTTGCACAAAGCATTTAACCCCCTTGAGCGCCCCCTTTTCCTCATCTGTGTGGCTGCAATCAGAACCCACAGTTCTGATTGGCCATTCCATGTAACCTATCATTCTGTCAACTCTCTCAACTTCTGGGAGGTAATACTGCTTTTGTGAAAATTAAATGAGATGACGGATGTGAAGTGATTAACATGTTGCCAGGCACATCCCACCCCAGTCATTTGATAGAGAAGCAGTACAGTGATCGAGGGTGTGAGCGCCAGAGTTGAAGATGCTGCATCTGAGACTTGGCTCCATCACTTACCAGCTCTGGGCAGGTTACTTGGCCTCTCCGTGCCACAGTTTTCTCATCTGTAGAGTGGGCTAGTAATGATGCGGACCCGCTGCCTCGCAGGGTTGTCATGAGGATGCTGCAATGAGATAACGCTTAGAATAGTGCCCAGGACATAACAAATAGTAAATGTTAGTTATGACTACAATGACTTTGGAATAATGAAAATAACAATCACAGCTACGCTTACTAATATTACCTCCCAGAAGTATTTAGGGTTCATTGATTATTAAGCAAACAAATCACCTCTGGTTAACTTGTAAAGAAATTTTTAAAGATGTATTGGGTGGCTCTAAGAGTTGGCAGAATCAAAGTTACATGGAACGGCCAAGCTTTGGAAGGAACCAGGAAGCAGGAGTCAGGAGCGGCCCCAGGTAAGTCACAGGAACTGATGAATAGTACCTTCGAGGGGTTGCGCTGAGAAGGAATTAGCTCCACTACCTTAGAGCCTCCCTCCAAAGAAGGGTGTGCACTTTGATATACCAATCAAGACCAAATCCAATGGGCGTGGTAATTAGTCAAAGGAGAACCTAGATACCACCAAGAGCAGAGGCTGGGATACTGGGTGAGAGAAACTACTGATGCCAGCTACAATTATGACCGCATATCAATATTTAGCAATATCAATTATTTATAATAATTACAGTGGTTGATGCTAATATGATTAGTCATTCAGGAAAGGGCAAAACCAATCAAAATGACAGTCTGTGAATATCTAGACCTGAACTTCATGAACACTGCGATTCCTAGCTAATCAGAGTAGCCACTGGACTAGAACCATTTTCATTCCCTTTTGGGAAAAAAAATTAAGTTTTTCCCAAAATACTTTTATCTTTCGGAAAAATTATAACTTCCCCATGATAAAAGGAAGACTATAATTTCTGACCTGCTTTTTAAATGTATAACACTGTACCAAGCACTTGGCATATTTTATCTTACTAATTGTATTGCCAGGCTCACCATCCGTTAAATAAAGTTTAATGGAAACAATAAAGATAAATGTTGAAGTCATCATTTTTATCACTGTTAATAATTAATACCTTTAAACAGTGAACTGGCCATTCAGTTCTCCAGGACACACCACGAAAGCCACGCACCTTCTTGCCCTGGAAAATGCTCCCTGGAGTTGCCGGTGTGAGAGGCAGTTCAAACACCAATTGATGCCTGCAGTTCATAAGTTCTGGCCCCGTCACGTATCTGTGGCAAAACAGGAGAAACAGATGCTCACGGGGACAACGCATGTTTGTTGAATTATGAAGTGATTCAACGCTCAGGACCCCCAGGTGCTGTGACAGCACTAAAACATGCTTGGGGGTAATGCACTACTTCTTAAAATAGCCTGACTTCCAGAAACTGCACTGCTGTTGGACTCTCTAGCTTAATCCATTCAGGGCTCAGCTTCGAAAGCGGTGTTTGTGTTCTGTCTTAATGGCGAGCCTGCAGCTATGGAAAGGCAACACAGTCTCCTTTGGGTTAGAAATCTCTGGGTGCTGTTGTAAAGACCTGGGGCAGGTGATCAGCGGTCCCATGTTCTCTGAGCGGTCCCATGTTCTCTCTCCAAAACTGAGTTTCGGCAGTCCTGGAGCCTACCTCTTTGAGTCTCTCTACTCTTTTGAGAGAGCGACTCATTATGAAGAGTGTATTGCAAGCTATTTTCCTTGGGGTGATGATGTGTTTGCACTGACCTTTCTCTCCTCCAGTGACATTTCTGTTGTGCCCAGCAAACATGGCTGCATACCAAGAGTAAGTGGACTGAGTTCTTTGCTGAACTAAGTGTGCCTGGGAGGACTCACCACCCCCTCCCCCACCCCGCCCTATTCCTTGGCCTCCTTAATCACGCCCAAAGGAAGACAGAGTGGGAGGCACTGAGAATCTACCCATCAGAACAGACCACACAGGCCACAGGGAGGGATGCAGTCATCAGTCATTGAGAGACCAATGGAACGCACTTTGGAAAGTCTTATTTTATAATGGCTTTGGAACCATGTATTAAAGAAGAATTATCCAGGAGAATTCTCTCTCCAGCCTCCCTGGGGATGCATGCTTGGTACTAAAGGACTTGCACAGGCCCCAAGTCTTGTCTAAAACACCCTGAGGGCACCGCGAGAGGAAAGGGGGTGAGGCCGTGCACACAAACTTACTCTAGTTAATCATTTTGCGAGAATTTTAATGCTGCACCTTTCTCCCTCATTTAGAACATCTCTTCTCACAAGGGGAGTGTTGGAAATCTGATCATCTAACCCACACTAAAGCAGCTGGGCATGAAAAAGAACCGGAGGGGGAGGGCAATGCCTAACTTGAAAGTATAATAGTAAGAAAACAACCGCCAATGCTTCTGGTTGGGCACTAACTATGTGAAAATGCTTGACTTGGCAGGTCCATAACTATCTTAAGAGGCAGGTGCTATTAACTTCCTCATACAGAGGAGCAAGTGGATAAGGGTCAGAGAGGCAACGATTTGTCCAAGGCAAGCCCAGCAAGAGATAAATAAAAATGGCCAAAGCTCACATTCCACCTGGTGTCAGCTTATCTCGGAAACATGATGCTGAGAGAGCTGTGCTCCTGCATCCGACCTACGCCTCCAAATTAGCCGTCAGCTTTTACAACTACGGATGCCTGGATTCTTCCCGTGACAGACAGAGCAGTCTCTCAGAGGTGGGAACCAGGTGCGATGCTGGTTTTTTTTAAAGGCCACGGAAGGTGACTCTACTGAGCGGCTGGGTTGAGAACCACTGAGGCAGGGCACCATGCTACCACTCGACGAGATGAAATCCATGTCTCTTTTCTTCTTTGAGTCTAAGCGAGACCTTTCAGCAACTCGAACTCCCTCACTGCCCCTCTGCCTCCTGAGCGAGGCGAAGTGCCAGGCCAGAGCTAGAAGCCAGACCAGGCTCCCTGGCCAAGAAGCGAACAGATATACCTCTGTGTCTGCCCCAGGGAGGTAAAGGGAAGACCCGAGGAGAGTCAGAAGGAAAACTAAAGGGCATAGAAAGAATGTGTGCGACTGGTCGGGAGGCCATGGGATGTTGGAAGGAAAGAGTAGCTGCAAGGTGGGGAAGGGGGAAGACTGGTTCTTGGAAGGGGGAGAATTGGGGCGGGGGGGAGACATTGGTGGGGCAGCCAGGAAAACTGGGCTCTCACTACCTCAGGGGCCTCAGAGGTCCCAGGTATTCTGGGTAGCTTCACTGGGGGTGGAAGGAGAAGGGCTTAACTCCTAACAAGCAAGGTTGGACTTGGGTTTTTAGGTTTCCTTAAATAACCCCACCTCTAGACAGCCTTCTAGTGGAACTCCCTGCCAGAAACTCTGCCCTACCCCTCATTCCTTTCTCCATTAGGCCAAAGGGACCCTTCTCAACTTCAAAACAGGTTAAACCTTGGTTAAATTTCTTCCAGGCCTCCCAATGCCCCCAGAATAAAGGCCAAATGCATGAATATAGCTTTAAAAATTTTTAATTCCCTGTAGGGTCTTTTGTTTACCACCCTTTCTGTTTTTCAAACAAGTTGACCTTGATTTGCTCTAAGCCTTGCACACACTGTGCCTTCAGCCCGAAACCCTCTTCCCATTCCACATTTTGCTCACCCTTCTGGCCTTGGGTTAGGTATCACTTGCAAGCATGTCAAACTCGCGGCCAGCGGAAGTGTCTGCACTGAAGCCTGCAGCCTATCCAGGAGCTTATAATATCCTCCAAACAGCCACATTCCACAGCCTGAGCTCACTGGTGACTCCTCACCAGAGGGTGTCAGGCTGCCTGGAACCTTGTCTCCTCTGGACTTCCAACGGGGACCACATCTGTCACTCACCTGAGAGGCGACTGATGGATGCTCTCTCACTCTATGTTTCTCTCTCTCTCTCTCCCTTCCTCTCACTCTAAAAAAAATCAATAAACATATCCTCAGGTGAGGAGTTTTTAAAAAGTCCACTGAACTTTGGATAAGCACCTTGAGACCCTGGAAATGTCACAACTCTGAACCTCAGTGTCTTCATCTGTCCAGTGGAACAGACAGATCATTGCCTCTCTGATCCTCAGCCATTTGCTCCTCTGGCACCTAGGACTGTTGTGATGAGGAAGAGTCAAAAGACTGGCACTGACAAAACACATAGGAAGTTCCCAGGGGCTCAAAATACACATGGGCAGTTTGCATAGTGCACACAGGTGCCCAGGTTAGGGGACAAGCAGAGCCCAGAATCCAGCCTGGCTTCTATGGCCAAGCCACGTGTCCATAGCTGTAGTCACGCAAAGGAAGCATCGTTCAGTATTGTATACAAATGCACCCTGAAAGCGGTCCTGGCAGGGCCTAGCACCAGGTCTCAGTGAACATTAATTGGATCTTCCATTCTCTGTTATCCACACACAGAGAAACAAAAACTGTGGTTGCTGAAATCATCCGAATATGCTTCCCCAGAGGAGAGGGGGTGGCGGTATAACATGGAACTAAAAATAACAGCTTCGGAGTTAGGGCTGAAGCCCCAGTTCTGCCACTAACTACACTGAATGGTCATAAGCAAGATGCATGACCTCTCTGAGTTTTTTATCATCTGTGAAAGGGGAATAATTTGGGAGGATTACCGGTGAGGAGTATAATTACTATCTCCTGAATAACCTCATGATTCAAGTGTTCTGGGACCCAGTTTTATGGGGAAGGAGATCACAGATCACCAGAGGTACTTACACATTCATCCTTGTAATTGGTATTTATTAAAATCCTAATGTGTTTTAGGCTCTGGAGCGCTTACACCATCTACAGAGAATGTTCTGCTTGCCAGACAATGTGCTAAGCACTGCATGCTCATCTATACCCACAACCACCCTAAGAGGGAGACACTATGATTATCTGCCTGAAAGGAAGTGATAAACTAGTTAAGAGAGCAATGAATCCATGCTTCCAATCATTAAACACTAAACAAACAGAGACAGAAGACAAGTATAAGGATATACCTTGAGTTAGGTGGCAGCTAGAAATAGGAGTGGGTTGTTGTAGGCAACCTAGATGCCCATGTCCAGATAGTTTAGTACAGCGGTCTCCAACCTTTTGGACCTCACGGACCACCAGGGATCTGCAGACCACCAGTTGGTGACTGCTGGTTTAGTATAAATACCTAATGAAATATTATACAGTAGTCAAAAATCATCATTTGCATCTAGGTATAGGGATGGATCTCAAAAACCAGGTTCAAGTGGCAAAAAGGTAAGAAACAGGTTGAGATTTAGAACACGAAAGAATAGGATAGTGTGCGCCAAGTTATGGGGCAATCGCTGTGAAACTTCACTCCTCAGAGAGGGCACCTCAGTCCTGCGAGCATCCATCCTAGACACTGAGGGCCAGGGAAAGCCCTGGGTTCACCGGTTCACTCCAGAAGGTTCCACTGACACGTACTGGAAGCAACAGTGACTAAAACATGGAGGTCCTGGCCCAGATACTTTTAGTAGGAGCATAAATTGCTACAATTTTTGAAGGGTGATTTGGCCGCCCTATTAAAACACAAAATATGCTTCCTATCAAAATGCACGGACCCTTTGGTCAGCCATCACACTTCTAGGAATATTTACATAAGGGCACAGAATATCTGTTAAAGGATTCTTCATTGCAGCACTGTGAGATCAAAAGCCCACATAAACAACTGTCGTTTGAGAAGGGTTAAATAAACTGTGTTACAGCCGCATGGACCATATAAAATGTTATGTAGCTGTTGAAGAAATGTATAAACTATCATCCAAACGCAAAAGCCAAGTTTAGGACTATCATGAGTAGATAATTTATGTGTAACAGAGTACGAGGAGGGACTTTTCTATTGCCCTTGAAGTCTGCTAAAGCCCAACGTTGAAAACAACTAGGTGGCGGGAATCACACATTCTACATAGAAGTTCCAGACACACCCAAACAGGTCTTACTATGCGGTGCCCAAAGAGGCCCTTCACTGTCACCCCCCTCGCCCACATCCAGGTCATGTAAGAAAAGGTGGCGAGCCATTAGATCTTTGGAACGGGACTCAGTCATGTTTCTCCTCCCCTCCCCTTCAAACAGAGAGAGGTGCTCCCCCAGAGAAGCCCTCACAGAATCTGGGTTTATCTGCCAGGAGAAACAGTTACATCTCATCCTTCAATGTAATGCGTCCTGGGAACAAGTCGCAAGCCCACCACCAGGTGTTGCTAGCTGAGTACAGCAGAGAGTGTTCTGGGATCATCTCAAACAGGGGTC